AGCATGGGTGGATTGTGAGAATATCATGCAAACAGCAATATGATTTCACTCATATGTGGGATATAAAACAAAAAACACATTCACAGACAATAGTATGGCGGTTACCAGATGGGAAAGGGGTGGGGAAAGATGAAGAGGATATAGGGGGTCAAATAAGTGGTGACTGAAGGGGACTAGGCTTTGGGGGGTGAGCACACGATGCAATACACAGATGATGTATTCTAGAACTGTACATCTGAAACTTATATACTTATTAACCAGTGTTACCCCAATAAATTTAATTTAAAAAAGAAAAGAAACCAACTGAGAGCTGGCTTAAGCAGAAGAATACAATATGGGCTAAAAACAGAATGGACAGGCCGTAAGGCACATGGCCGGGCAGCAGAATGGAAGCCCAGCTGTGAGCTGTGCTGCGGGAGGCTGTGGGGAGGCTGCCCCTGCCGACCTCCTGCTGTTTGGAAGATGGGCTCCCGGACTGTCCTCTAATCTTACTTTTTTCCTCTGAGGTCCTTCTCTTTGTCCTTTAGTTCTCTTTTCTGGGAGATTTCCCCTTTCTCTGTCCAATCCTACTTTTGAGATTTCAAAATTCTGTCATATTTTTATTGTTCAATAACTAGGAAGTCCTCATAATGTTCCTCTTTTTGTTTCACCGGTACAGTTTCTTATTTCTTCTTAAGCTTTCTTCTCTGTACGTCATGCCTGCTCTGAATTCTTTTTCTCCCCCTGTTTTTTTTGGGGCTGTCTTTCTTGAGACCTGTTTTGGGTCTTCTTCAAAACACCTGACTGTTGGCTGTTTGTTCATATTCAAGAATGAGCTGGGCCAAGCCCTTGGAGCCATGGTAGGATGTCCTCTGGTGCCTTTGTCTTAGGGAATGTGGCAGTGAATCTGACCCCTTTGTTGGTATCTGACCCCTGCATCTTGGTATCTCTAGGCCTTTTCTCTTGGGCTACACGAGTGCTTCTAGAGAAACTGTCTACTCGCTCACCTGCCAGTGAGAGATATGAACTGGGAGCTTCTTTATTCAGAGGGTGGTCCTCACCCACGTGCACCATGGTCCTTCACGTGACTTGCTCCTTCTATCCGGCACTTCTTACCCCTGGTCTCATTCTGCCCCTCTTTTCTGTAATCCCTTTGCTGTGGCTGATAAAACAAATGTTGACTGTCGGGATGCAGGCTAGGCAGATTTGGTCTCAGCTTAAAATATTTGTATGCAACACTGAGGCTAAAATAGCAGAAGGGGAAATGAACAGACTTAAAATATGCAATTTTCAGGATTGCGAATCAATATACTAGTAGTGAAAATTTAGAGGAGTAAGATTCATAGTTAAGGATTGTTCTCAATAATAGCACTTTATGTGTAAAATGTTATGTTGGTTATATATGCTCCAAAAATTAATCATACCCTAAGAAATATTGTATGCTCTTCTGTCATAAAAGAACTAATTTTTCTAATTAATTTTTATTTTCTTTCAGATCCTATCACATAGGACAGTATGTACCTTCAGATCCTGAAGAAAAGGCGCAAAATGTTCAAGTAATGTTTCAAAGTAATTTGTGAGGTGAGCGTGTGGTTCTTTATTCAGGTGTATAATCACTATTGCCTTTCTAACAGCTGACACTGGTGGCATGCCATTGAAAAGGCCACACAGGCCACACAAAAGGTTAATGGTGATAAGGAAATATTTATCTCCGCCTGTTGTCCTTGGTTTGCTTACCACCTGTCCTAGAAGGAGAGCGTATCATAGGGGTGGGGCAGGGCAACCAGAAAGCAACTGTTAAGTTATTAGCAAGTTTCACAAAGTGAGGTGAATGCTCAGTATAAATGGAATAGAATGTCTTTACTTGTACGGTTGTCCCCTTAAATAATGGAGGTCTGCAGTGTAGCTTTCGTGTTCTGTGAAACCAGGCTTTATTTAGCGAAAGGACACGCAGCTTGGCTTCAGGAGTGTAGACAAAAATCACATTAAGTTGGAACACGATGATGCGACATCTTCTTGACCATCGGTCAATGCATAGTGCTTTCAGGTTTCTCCCAAAAATGGTCTTCAGGAGTATTAAATCAATAGCGACTTTGGTGTTTAGTGTAGAATAAGATTGCAGCCTTATTGTAATGACTGTGTATATTTTAGTTTTGCATCGAGAATCACTGTACCATTGCTCTCATGCTCCCAGTATTTTTAGATTAGTTCAATGTAAAGGAATTGTTTCTTCATTTCCTCCCCTCCCTTCCTGCTGCATTAGTGAAGTGGATATAGTGACTCAGCAGAATGCTCGTGCAGTTGATAACAGATAACTGAACACATCCAGCTTAACCTTGCTGCATCCATTGCTTGCATTCTTGAAAAGAAAGTCACTTCTGGCTATCAGACTACTTTTCCCTTTGTCTTCTAGTGGCTTTAACAACTTTGGGTCTAAAGCACACGAGCATTATGCACCATCATTCTATTATGCACTCCAGGAATGTCCTGCCACGCCAATGACTGGTGTCCTTGTGGTTCCAGCCGAGGCGGAGCACCACTGGCTGCGTCCTGCACTCTGGCCATTCGCACCAGTGCCTCCACTGGAAGGTTAGGCTGGATTGGCTCAGCTGGTCAGCATGTGTGTCTTTAGAAGCCATTCAAGGTCCTGATTTCTGTGGGGAGCTCACACTGCACAAACATTGTGCTGACAAAAGGCTAGTCTGTCTCTGGACATGTGGCTGTGCAGCTCTTTATCTTACTGCCCAGCATCGTTTCTCATGGAAAGCATTCTACTGGAGGAGTCACCGTAAAGCAGAGGGGTTCTGTTGGAGGAATTTTTCAGCTTAAGGTCTTGATGTACAGTTATGATTCAGTAAGAAACTTATGGAAATCACTAGGAATTAATCACATCTGAGAGGTACCAGTTTCTTGTTGATCTGCCTGTAAACAAACATGCACTTGCCAACAGTACACAGGCACCAAAGGGAGCACAGGGAGCGAGGACCAGACCCTCTATCCAGGCCGACAGGGAGGGAAGACAGCAGCTCTTGTGGGGAGGGGTCCATGCACTGCAAGTGGAACTGATGAGCGTGCCCTGAGAGTTCCAGACCAGTAGAAGTGTCTGGATAGTGTCAGCCCTCTGGTAGAGTCAGGCGTTAGAGTGGGGTAGGCAGAAGCAGTTTGCACCTCTTCTCCAGATACTCTTGTCTGATATTCATAGACCTTTCAAAGTGCTCCTCGGAGGAAGGAGAGCTGTGTTTTCAGGATGCCTTGCTTGGAAGAGAGAAACATTGGGCCCTACAGGGTGTGGGATGCCAGAGGAATGGACTCAGCGGAGGTGTTTGCAGGGGAAGGTGGGCAGGCAAATCTGGGTGATGTCAACATTCAGTCATGCTCCCTGCCTGAGAGAATGGCTGGCTAAGGTCGACCCAATTCTTATCTTTTAGTTTCTTCTATTTTACTTAACAAAATTTTAAAGATATTTTTGCTGATCTAAGAGCAGGTGTTATTTTACTGAACATGGGAACATTTTTATTTCTCTCTTATACCAGTCCATGTTTTTATATAAAGGGGGAATTTTCAAAATATTTGCAGAATGAACTCTCATCTGCAAGTTCATTCGTTCATTAAATGTTTTCATAATTACTATCCTCCAGTTGCCTTTAAGGAAAAAAACAAACAAAAAAAATGACCTGGCCAGTGTTGCTTAGTAGTTGAGCATCTACCTAGGAACCAGGAGGTCACAGTTCGATTCCCGGTCAGGGCACATGCCCAGGTTGCGGGCTTGATCCCCAGTAGAGGGTGTGCAGGAGGCAGCCGATCAATGATTCTCTCTCATCATTGATGTTTCTATCTCTCTCTCTCCCTCTCCTTTCCTCTCTGAAATAAATATATATACACTAGAGGCCTGGTGCATGAAATTTCGTGCACTGGGGCGGTCCTTCAGCCTGGCCTGTGCCCTCTCGCAGTCTGGGACCCCTTGCTCCTTATCGCCCGCCTGCAGTGGAGGCGGCAGAGGCTCCTGCCACCGACACTGCACTCGCCAGCCATGAGCCCGGCTTCTGGCTGAGTGGTGCTTCCCCTGTGGGAGCGTGCTGACCACCAGGGGGCAGCTCCTATGTTGAGCATCTGCCCCCTGGTGGTCAGTGCGAGTCATAGTGACTAGTTGTTCCACTGTTTGGTCTGTTTGCATATTAGGGTTTTATTATATAGGATAGGATGTGTGTGTGTACATATGTTGAAATGCCCAGACTCAAAGACTGCTGGTAATCACTTGTGGCAGACTTGACTCCAAGAGCACCCATTCTCCCCACTCCTGCTCCCTCACAGAGGGGAGGGGCCCTCGCTCTGTGCTTGTCTGAAAGATGAGCAGTGCACCTGTGCTGAGAAAGCACTTGGGTCATTTGCTGAAAGGCTGCCAGTGATTTTCTGTCCCTTGAATGAACGCTAAGGCCAAATGAACTCTGATTTATTTCCCTTGTCTTTATCACGAGTATCACTACTCTTATACCAAACACTGATAAGAGAAAGTCATATGTTTAAACAAGTTGCTAGAAAAAATGCAAGTTCCTCTTGCCTTTCGTTGGACCCCATATGTTCTCAGGTATCCAGAACTGTAGAAAATATAGGAAAGGTGTCAAAAGAATGGGTTAATAAGTGAAGGAAACTTTAAAAGATTAAAATAGAGAGGAAGAGTGTTCTAGAAACAGTATAGAGTTGAAGAAGATAGAGATAAAAATGGGAGCCTACCTCCAAAACATGATCACGTGTTATCAGAGCTAAAACGAGGGAGGAATGAAAGTAAACTGAGAATCACATGGAGAAAACGCAGGTAAGCACTGTGGTGTGGACAGCGGATGGCAGCCGTGGTACAAGTCTCGTGTCCATGGGGCTTTGGAACTTGGGTGCTGTGGTTCTGCATTGAGCTTGTTCTTTTCATTATCTTTGTCCCTCTGTGGCAGTGGCTAGCCCTCCGTGTGCTCCCCGGGAGCCTCATCAGCTCTGTGTCCAATCCCCCTCTAGGGTGCATCCGGGAAATCATGCCGTCATCAGGACACCGGCTCCGCGATGTCGAACACCATCCTCTCCTGACCGAAAATGACCATTATGACTCTTCGTCCTCCTCTTCCTCCGAGGCTGACGCGGCTGACAGGGTCTGGTTCATCCATGATGGCTGTGGCATGATCTGCGCTGTCATGACGTGGCTTCTGGTCGTCTATGCAGACTTTGTGGTGACATTTGTCATGCTGCTGCCTTCCAAAGACTTCTGGTACTCCGTGGTCAACGGAGTCATTTTTAACTGCTTAGCGGTGCTTGCCCTGTCATCTCACCTGAGAACCATGCTCACCGACCCTGTGAGTACTCGCTGTTGAGCTGCATTTTCCCCATGTGTCTGGTCTATTGTGACATGGGCCGTGCGGCAGATGGCCTCTTGCTCCTGTAACCTCGGGTTTTTATTAATTCCTAAATACAGACATGTAGCACTTTTCACTGGAGAATAAGCATCGCTTAAATAGAAGTGATATCACGGTATGTTAATGAAAAATATTCCCGCTGGCTGTTTATTCAAATGAAGAGATTGTACTAAATAATTTCTAAAATCCCTCCTCGTTTAAATATTTCATTTCTCTAAGGAATGGACTGAAAGCTGAGAGATACGGGATCTAGATTTTACCACTTTGCTAACCTTTTCAATTGCCTTTTGACCATAAGGAACTAATTTAACTTCTTTGGGCTAAAGCAGTGGTTCTCAACCTTCTGGCCCTTTAAATACAGTTCCTCATGTTGTAACCGAACCATAAAATTATTTTCGTTGCTACTTCATAACTGTAATGTTGCTACTGTTATGAATCGTAATGTAAATATCTGATATGCAGGATGGTTTTAGGCGACCCCTGTGAAAGGGTCGTTCGACCGCCAAAGGGGTCGCGACCCACAGGTTGAGAACCGCTGGGCTAAAGGGTAGCTATTACCTCTAAGTTCTTTCTAGCTTTATAATTCTCTTGTTTTAAGTCTCGGCTAAAATCAGAAGTAAATGGCTCATTCTAGCTGGTAAAAGGTCAAGGTTCAGCCGCACTACGAAGCCGAGAGGGAGAAGTCACTAATTACCGGTTCCCTCAGGGGTGAGTGTGACCTTGGAGAAAGCAGTTGCTAAACAGAGATCAGGTTCAGTGCAGTGAGCGAGCGGGCACCGGTGTGCGAGAACAAGGGCGGCGTGTTGGGCTTGTCTTTGGAGCACTTCCCTGAGAATGAAGATGGGCCAGCTCTCACACAGTGAACTGATGTCTTGAAGGCCCAGGACTCAGAACCTCCATGCTGGGCATAAGGCAGCTAACCTGAGATTTTGAGGCGTTCTCTGGTTAGGCAAAATGGTAGTGATCCCCGACGTTCAGCCAGGGGTCACCTCCAGTCTGGCTTCCAGGCTCACCCCAGAGTCCAGAGGAGGCTGCTTGTGGGAGGACAGCCTGCAGCCCAGGGGAAAGTTCTCCCGCCAGTGGAACTGCTGCAGGTGGCAGCTCGGTTTCGTGGTTGGTGTGGCGTTCAGTTTGTAGAGGTCCTTTCCACCGCAGCATTAAAAGAGCGGTCTGAAGCCACTGGTGCAGGGCCTCCTGATTTGTCCAGTCAAGTCTACTGGCTCATGTCTGTTGGTAAGCTTCCTCTTAAAAGGTACCAAGAAGTTAATGTTTTGTTATAAAACTTTTTTATACATAAGATGAGGCCTTCATCTGAGAATAAACCGATATTGATCAGTCCACGGAATGTGGTTGACACATTGACCTACCTGACTTTTGTTGTGTCTGAGTTCGTGTCACAGGATGTTACCCTAGATTATTTACTCTGTTGCCTGTTTGTCCAGTGGAGGTCTTGGGCCTCGGGCACTATCATAGGCCCAGCCAGTGGGCAGCTAGGAGCAGCACTTTGGTGACAACTTGGAAGCTAAGTCTGCCCATGGTTTTATAGCCTCACCTGAGTGTGGGGTCTTTCACCATCACCGGATATGATGTCCCTCAGAGACGTTTAAAGCAGCGGTCACTGACCGGTGGTCCGGGGACCACTGGTGTTCCATGAGGTCCGAAAGGTTGGCGACTGCTGGTTTAAAGGACCCTTTTCTCCTTCCCTTTACACAGCAAAGCCTCCCTCTGGGAACACACCTGCTCCTGGCCCCTGTGCATCTCCATCCCCTGTCCTCGCTGAAGCTCCAACATCACACCAGGCCACGGAGGGGGCAGTTACAGGGCCAGGGCCCAGATGAATGATTTCTACTCAAATATTCATTGTAGGGAAAGCCCTGTTAGTGTGGACCATCCTCCTGGGTGTTGAAAGCTGGGTGAGTCCATCCTTTGTAGCATTTTGGTGATGGGACCACCTCTACATGCAGGTCCCTAGTTGTGAGTGTGCAGGGCCTCAGGGGATGGAGGCTGACCAGGGAGACACTCCTTGTCAGAGTGTGTTTGTTTCCTCTGTTAAGCATAGTTGTCTCTCACTCCTGGCTGTGTAGCTCCCGGCCCCACCCCTCTCCTCCTCTGGGAAAAGGCCTCAGAACTCTTACCGGAAGTCCCAAGAGCTGGGGGAGGTGAATGGGGAGAAGGTGCGGAACGTCCCCTCTGTCCCTGGTGGGTGTGTGCATCACTGTGGTGTTGAATGGAAGCATGAGAGGGAGGCAGACCAAGCTAGAGGAGGAGTTGAAATGGACATCAGTTTTTTCATTGGAATTTGATTCATATACCACAAACACCACAAAGTGCATGGCTCAAAGTGCATAGTTCAGTGATTTTTAGTGCGTTCATAGAATTGTGCAACCATCACTACAATCAATTTTAGACATTTCATCACCCCCAAAAAGCCCCTGCACTCGTAGTCATCACTGCCTAGTTCCCCATTTCCCCCAGCCCTAGGCAGCCACTAATCTACTTTCAACCTTTGCCTCTTCTGGAATCATAACTGTAATCATACAATATGTGGCCTCCTATGCCTGGGTCCCTTCGCCCAGCATGAGGTTTTCAGGGTGCGTCCAGGTTGCAGCACATGCCACTGTCTCATCCTCTTATGGCCGAGTAGCATTGCTTTGTGTGGACAGACCCCGTTTTGTTTATTAGACAGTGTCACTTGAGGGACCTTTGGGTTATTTCCACGTTGGGCTGTTAGGGGTACTGCTGCCTGAAAATGTCGTACGAGTTTTTATGTGGACCTGGGTTCGTTTCTTGTGTACATACCTAGGAGTGGAATTGCTGGGTCATGTGGGAACTCTGCATTGAACTTTTTGAGGAACCGCCAGACTGTTTTCCACAGCAGCTGCCCCATTTTGCATCCCCACCAGCAGTGCCTGAGGGTCCAGTTCCTCTGCATCCTCTCGTCTTGTTCACCTTTTATCGTAGCCGCCTCAGGATATGAAGTGGTGCTTCACTGTGGTTTTTTTTTAATATATATTTTATTGATTTTTTACAGAGAGGAAGGGAGAGGGATAGAGAGCCAGAAACATCAATGAGAGAGAAACATTGATCAGCTGCCTCCTGCACACCCCCTACTGAGGATGTGCCCGCAACCAAGGTACATGCCCTTGACCGGAATCGAACCCGGGACCCTTGAGTCCGCAGGCCGACACTCTATCCACTGAGCCAAACCGGTTCTGGCTTCACTGTGGTTTTGATGTGCATCTCCCGAATGACTAGTGATGCTGAGCATCTTTCCATGTGCTTCTTGGCTATTCCTGTGTGTTTGGAGAAGTGTCCATTTAAGTGCTTTGTCCATTTGGATGTCACTGGTTCAGCCAGGCCACACCAGAACTCTGGTGGCAAGTTACAGAACCCACTGGGAGTCAGTGTAAATAAAACGGAGGAACCTAAGGGCAAGAGTCCTGCGGAGAGCCTGGCCGGCTGCAGAACCGGGATGTGAACACCGTGAGAGGTAGACTGGGGCTGGGGCGGACAGGCTTTCTCTGTCCTGTGGGTATGCTCTTGCCCAGCATCCCGGCTCTCCCTGCGCCTAGGGAAGAAGGGTAGCCCCACAGAGCATGCAATTGGAATTAAGTTCCAGATCCACATTCCTGAAGGGAGACTATGAGGCCCAGCAGGGTCAGGTGTCCACTCTTGTCCTCTCAATGGGGGGTTTGCTTTCTTTTCTTTGCAGAGCACGGTTTTACCATCCCAGGGTCCATTGTGGGCTCAGCTAGAACCACCACGCCACCCCAGGGCAGGGCAGATAGCCCACTGCGGCTTCATGTCTTTTTGCTAAACCAATAGGACCTAGTCAGCCTTTGCTAGAATTGGCTTTAGTTTGTTATTTGAGAAAAGTCCTTTGTACTTTGAATGAGGAGCAGGAAGGATGATGCGGTCCATGACCTTTGATGGAGCAGAAATCTGATCATAAAGCAACGGCCCAGCTATTGGAAGATGAGACTTGCACCAATCTTAACGTTGGGAAACACCGAGAACTGAAACTTGTGAAGGGACACTGAGCGACTGCAGAGTGGCCGCGCACCCCTCACCAGAGCCTGCTGTCCTGAAGCCCCAGCCTTTTTTTGTTTTTGTTTTTTGTTAATCTTCACCAGAGGGTATTTTTTCCATTACTTTTTCAGAGAGAGGGGGGACAGGGGAGAGATACAGACAGAGAGAGAAACAGAGAGAGAAGGGGAGGGAGAGAGAGAAATATTGATGTGAGAGACACATCAACAGGTTGCCTCCCGCATTCACCCCGACTGGGGGTGGGAAGCGAACCTCAAAACCCAGGCACGTGCCCTTGACCGGGAATCTAACCTGCAACCCTTTGGTACACAGGCCATACTCTGCGCACACCAGCCAGGACCCAGCCTCTTTTTATGAACACCAGCCTTCTTAGCAGATGTTTGCTGAGTGCCGCTGAAGGGTACCCTTGGAGGAGCGTTGGTCCTGTGCCAGGTCTTGCCAAAGATGTTCTTTCATTAACCCTCCAGCACCTGGGAGAGGTGGAGTAAATGAGACCAACATCCAAAAATGAGACCCCACACAAAGCTGGGATTCGAACAAGATTTGTCTGTCTCCAAAGCCCCTGCTTCATGTTAAATTCTTATTTATAGACTAGAGGCCCAATGCACGAAATCTGTGCGAGAGTAGGCCTTCCTTCCCCCGGCTGCCAGCACCGGCTTCCCTCTGGCACCCAGGACCCAGGTTTCCCTTGCAGCCCCGACTTCATCCAGAAGGTCGCCTGGAAGGATGTCCGATCTAATTAGCATATTACACTTTTATTATTATAGATGTTTCACACACAGAAATAGAGAGAAAATAGTGTAATGAACCCCATGGTCAGTATTGTGTCAGCCATACCCTCACCTAACTCCCTCTCTTCCCCTCCCCAGAGTATTTGGAAGTAAATCTCAGAC